TGAACGCGTCTCCTCACAGGTAGCTGGTGAGCGAGGCCACAGCTGCGGCGCTTCCACCTGAACTGCCTCCGGTGACGACCCAGTCCGAGTCCGGGTCTGCCTTCGTCCGCTCTCTGTAGGGCGCGGCGTAACCCCAGGGGTTCTTTACGGCGCCGAAAGCACCATCAGTACTGCCCGCACTGCGAGGAAAACAAACGGATCCATATGAGAAAAACTGCAGCTGCAGAATTCACAGAAATCTTTTTGTAACCTTTTGTTTGTTCAGTGAATTTATCTTTTGATTCCTCGTCACACAAGAACGCTGTGAGCGAGCGCCGCACAAAGACGGCGTTTGCAAGTATAACTTCGATGGAACCGGGATGAACATTTTGAATCATGTCCAAAGAACCTGAACAACACCAGCGGGGCAACATGCATGACAGCGCACGGCGCCTTGCAGTCATTCAGGCTTCATGACTCACAGTAATTTTCCTGGTATGTAGTTTAGTGTTGGATATGAAGATTTTCCCATCATAACCATCATTTTTCATAATCTGATGATGCAAACAGCTCAACAATACAGACCGACAGGACAGAAGGATCCACATGTAACTCCATGACTAGAAAATGAGCCAGGAGGCATCACATGTAGGCACAAAGGTCACCTTTCATCTGCTCTAACTTGTTCTGAGCAGCCACTTATCTCACACGCTGATATGAGCCTGCAAAGTTTACCCAGAATGCACTTTGTCACGTTTCCTCCAGATCAAAGATCCAGTTTACTGTTCCTCTACATCAGAAACATTAAACTGCTGCAGTTTGTTCACACTGTGGTCGATCCATCGCACAGACGACCGTTAGTCTGACTGTGCTTAGACTGCAACACTTGATGTAGGTGTGAACAGATTTGATTGCAGATTTTAACAACACTTAAATGTTCAGTCCTGACATCTCTTCTACTTTAATCAAAAATGCTGCAAAAACTCAGTTACCCCATTGCAAACTCATCCATGTTGGTCTTCCCCATTAAAACGGCCCCCTGGTCGAGGAGTTTCTGGACCACTGTGGCGTTATAAGGAGGAGTGTAGTCTGCAGGAAAAGCAGGATATAAGTACTGGGCTGCAGTGGAGTGAAAAACAAGTTGTTTTTATTGCCCACTTCACACAGACCTTGAAGCATCCTGGAGGCACATGTGGTCCTGATGTTCTCCGTGCAGAAATTATCCTTGACAGCAAA